TAGAGGGCAAACAAACAATATTTTTATTAGTTTTTTTTTTTTTTTGTTTTTTTTTATTCGGGCCTCACGTGTTATTTTATTCGTCCGAAACTGCCAAACTTGCAATGTCTTGTAACATGTCGATCGGCGTGGCGCCACGATACACATCGACGTTAGTCCTGCTTCCTTCAACCTGCTCAGTTGACGACGCACGACACGTAGAGCCAAGCCGCGACTGCTATCCTCTGTATGTCAGTGGAAACCTATGCGGATGACAACGGCATCGCACGCTTACTTCCGACAGCTACAGGTCTCTCTACACCACGCCACCGCAGGCGGCGGTGCTTACACTCTCTCGCACCCACCACACACAGCGGCACATCTCCTCTACACCACACACAGCGTCTACATCTCTCTACACCACACACAGGCGGCCTACATCCTCGCTACATTATGCCGCCATGCACACGTCATGCATCAGCCACACTCGTCACAAACCTTTTGAAAGCTCAATACCTACCCTGATTGGTGAGGCCCACGGCCACCATCGTTTCCATAGCAACACACCGGAAAGTACATCGCCATAGTTACTGAGGTCACTGTCGTCTTGGCTTCCGACATCGACTGCATATAATGTGGTTAGCTCCCATTTGTTTCATCACATCAGCCTGCAAACATCACAGCACAGAAAAATCCGTGGTAGTATTACGCCAGTAGCAACGACGTATAAACGAGAATTTTGTGAGATATTGACGAAGATTACACAAGCGACAAATTTCTGTTCCGTGTATTTTAGTTACGGTACGTTGTTATTGCTCGGGTATAACAAAGGATATCATACGCAAACAAAATAACAGAGCTAAGGTTAATTTCTACCCAACAGTGAAGATCAAACATACTGCTAACGTTTTGCATCCGTTTGTGGACCAAGCTGTTGACCACTACACCCGCTGCTGGTCAAATCGTCAGTCAGCTTTGAAAAAGCCTCCTGTTAGGATGCGAAACGTTAGCAGGTACGTTTGAACCTTACGGTCAAGTAGAAATTAACCAAGTTATCTCTATTGTCAATCAATTTATCAATCGAATGAACTTATTAGGAATTTAGAATTAACAAAAAAAAACAGTTTAATTTTCACCCCGTTTACACAGCCCTCAGTACTCTCTCCCTCACCACACACAGAAAGCAAAGCTCCCAGCACAGACACATTTACCATTAGTTTCTACTTATTATCTAAATAAGAACATGAAATGCTGTTGATATACACAATGCCAATGCAACCTCACATTGCCCCTATGCTAGTCCCATGTGCCATAGTCACACTGACTCGCCCACCGCATGCTGCAAGATAAAAAATACCATCGACGAGGGAAGACCCACACATGACCTGATTTTGCCCTGCCTCCATTTCAGAGATTCACAATTCGGCATGCTCGCTATAAAAGTATAGCCGTTGGGTGGGCGCTCGCACCTGGCAGGGTATTTACATATGCTCCATCCACTAGAAGGTGACCATCTAGGGGATCACATATAGGAGGAAGGTAGATGGCGATAGACATGCTTGCTCTGACATACCGCCACATACAACCTGTGAGAAGGGAGGCAAGAGAATTGGTGACGAACAGATCGTGGCGTTACCTGGTAAGTTATTGACATATCCACCGTCGAGTAACAGGTGCCCATCGATGGGATCACAGAGTGGCGGCAGGTAGCCAGAAAGCGACATGCTAGCGCGAACGTATCGCCACAGCGACCCTGCAAACCAAGCAGATTTCAACAAAAACATTCTCCCGGGGTGCAACACTGTCGCGCTGTCGACGGATCGCGACTCAATGGCTGAGATGAGGTGAGAGACTATGAGCAGGAATGAAGGGATATAACACGAACTAAACACGTAAACGGTGCGAAACGCACAGAGAGCCACGAACTCTTTCGGAGATAATTACAGTCTGTTGCAAAATACACGGACTCATACGTATTAACTACGGACTGCTAACGGACTGCCAATTAACAATGATCTACTGTATATGCCATATTTTTCGCTTACAGATATTTTCGCGAATTCAGACTTGACGGACAATTTCTCGAGTGGTTGATTTCGCGGTCGGTGAATTTCCGGATCAGTGAAGAACGGGGTGTTGATATTTTCGCGTTGTTATTATCATGGTCCCGGACGAGTTCGCGAAATTCGCGAAAATTAAACCACCGCGAAATATACAGCGTATACAGTAATCCGTATACAGTAATACAATGGAAAAAAATGCGTGTTTATTACGTTCATAGTACGTGGATTGCCCCGCCAGCGTGGCAGCTTGCGCCCAGGCGTGAGTTCAGGGACAAGATTGGCAGGTCCGTCGTGGCAGCGAGCAGTAGCTAGTAGAGTACGTGTCTAAGCAAGACTACCAACGCCTGCTAACACTCGCCTGCTTCAAAAGCTCCCGCTGCGAGTGTGCGGCTGCCACGCTCGCGGGGAAATCCACGTACTATGAATGTAAAAATCACGGTCTCTCGAGATTAGTTAATTGTTATCAAGCAATCCGTTAGCAGTCCGTGCTTAGTCCATGGCAGTCCGTGTATTTTGCCACGGACTGTAATTCGTTCCGTAATAGTTCGTGGCTCTCAGTGCGTTTTGCACCATTTACATGTTTAGTCCATGTTTTATCCGTTTAATCCAGTTCATAATAGTAGCTTCTGTCAAAATATCAAACATATACGTACGCGTACGATGAACGAATTAAATAAGGATTAATCATATGCAAACAGTTTAAAATTATAGCGGCTACATCTCTCTACACCACGCACAGCGGCTACATCTCGCTACATTATGCCGCCATGCACACGTACGTCATGCATCACGCACACATCGTCACAAACCTTTGAAGCTCAATACCTACCCTGATTGGTGCGGCCCACGGCCACCATCGTTTCCATAGCAACCACCACCCGGAAAGTACATCGCCATAGTTACTGAGGTCACTGTCGTCTTGGCTTCCGACATCGACTGCTATGATGTGGTTAGCTCCCATTTGTTTCATCACATCAGCTGCAACATCACAGCACAGAAACAACCTGGTAGTATTACGCAGTAGAACGACGTATAAACCGAGAATTTCGTGAGATATTGACGAGATTACACACGCGACAAATTTCTGTCCGTGTATTTTAGTTACGGTACGTTCGTTATTGTCTGTATAAACCAAAGGATATCACTACACGGTAATTCAGCATACTAGGTAGTTGTATATTTGTGTTCATACAGACACGTTTTCGATGATACTTCACATGTTTGGTACAAATGAAGTATGCATGTGTTTGT